CAATATGGATTACTAGACCGTGATCAGAAGAATTGAGGTATATCTATATGTAATGACGTGAAATCATTTTCCAATTTGATTATAAAGTACAAATTCAGTGAAACATGCATTATAGTATTTATTGAAAAAAAAGAAAGACAGAAACCAATAACAATGCCTTTTGGTGGCTAGGTGGAAAAATAGATGATAGAGATAGATTGATGGATCTGGATCTACACCTGGATGGAATGAAGGGCGGGAGGGATGAAGGGAGGGAGGTAGAGAGGGAGGAAGCAAGTAAGAAAGAAGATAGAATAAGGAGAGAGGGAGAGATTGATCTTTGTAGGGAGATGTCTAAATGGTGTGCAGGGCAAGTTAATATCCACCAAACATATAAACATAAAGAGTTATATTAAAAAAAATTCAAGTTATACAACTATTTGTAATTTTCTCTGTATTTAAAATTTTTTATAATAAAAAGAGAGAATATGAATATGAGAATGCATAGGGAAGGATCTAAAATAATTCTATATACCCTCTGGGGATAGAAAAGGCTAGGCAGAGAGGTGTGGCGGGAGGACCATCCCATTTATACTCTATAGACTTCTGTATTATTTGATTTTTTTTTTAAATTAGAATACATAGTCTCGTGTTATTTGTATTTTTTAAAAATTTAACAGCTGATTTTAAAAATAAAAATCAATCTTCTTAGAAGAAATTAAAGGTGTGGAACTTTGGATTTAAAAATATGTATCAAAAATATTTATAAAAAGACCAAAATTCCGCCTTTTGATTCTACTTCATTTACTGCTGTCTGTTGAAGGAACAAGAGTGATATTCGCATTCTCGATCCACAAGCCAGTCAGGGGTCAGATCTGCAAGCTCATCAGAAAAAAACAGAGGAAGAGAGATCATCTGAGATCAGAACTTTTGCCAATTCATTTGTAAAGATAAAGTGAGAGCTAAACAACTGGGAGAGCTGGCGTTTGGAAGGGCAGTGTCTAAATGGCGTGCAGGAAAAATTCATAGCCAACCCTTACAGGAATATAAAGAATTATACCTGCAAACTTCAAGTTGCAGAAATTCTTTCTAATTTTTTCTACATTTGTAATTTTTCATAATAAAACGTTGAGTAAATTAAAAATACCTGGTCTCTACCTTAAAAACAAATCTAGTAAAAGTATGACTTACAGTTCTACAAATTAAGCACATTAATTGCTTTCTATAATTATTTACTCAGGAAAAAAAATTAGCTTCTCCCCAAATTACTGTAGCCTGTTGGCATTTTCTCTTTTAAGACTACACTGAGTTATATCACTTCTGCTACCCTCGTTCACATCAACAACTCTATTTCTAAGCTGTGTGTTACACAGTAGAAATTCACAGAAGAAATGATATGCTATAACCCTAATTAACACCTCCCTAGGAGTCCCTGGGTAGTACAAATGGTTAATACACTCAATGGCTAACCAAAAGATTAAAGGTTCAAGTCCACCCAGAGGTGCCTTAGAAGAAAGGCCTGGTGATCTACTTCTAAAAAATCAGCCATTGAAAACCTGATGGAGCACAGTTCTCCTCTGACACACATGGGGTCACCCTGAGTCAGAGTCAACTCGACAGCAACTATTTTGTTTTTAATTGTCTGAAAGTAGGTCCAAAATGAACTTGGAGACAATTAAGTATTTCTAGCCTTCCATTTTTGTTGCCTTTGAGTTGAGTTTTTATGAGGAGCTATGCATGAGTGAGGATCCCTGGTGGCACAGTGTTTGAGTGCTTGGCTGCTAACCAAAAGGTCAGTGGTTTTGAATCCACCAACCACTCTGTGGGAGAAAGATGTGGCAGTCTGCTCCCATAAAGATTTATAGCCTTGGAAACGCTATGGGGCTGTTCTACTCTGTCCTATGGGGTCACTATGAGTTAGAATGGACTCGATGGCAATGGGTTTGGTTTTGGCTATTCCTTCTAATAAGGAGCACTGGTGGCACAAACAGTTAAGTACTTGGCTGCTAACCAAAAGGTTGGCAGTTTGAACCCACCAGCCACTCCATGGGAGAAAGATGTGGCAGTCTGCTCCCATGAAGAGTTACAGCCTTGGAAACCCTATGGGGGCAGTTCTACTCTGTCCTGTAGGGTTGCTAAGAGTCAGAATTAACGGCAGTGGATTTGATTGGTTTGATTTATGCATGAGTGTATTACTTTGACATTGAGTAATAAAAAGAAAACTTTCTTCTAAATCATTGCACGATCTTAGTAAGAATGTTCTCTTTTCTCCTTTGTTTTGTTAGTCCGTGTTCTTATAAATGTGCCAGGAAAAAGAAAAGCCAAGTTTCAAGCTCTTACCTTTGAGGCCCCTGCCAAAGACAAAGGGAAGAAGCTCTGGGGTCTGACCCTCCCTGGAAAGGTGTGCCTTGAAGAGACGTGTGTGTCCATTTCAGCTGCAGGGCCGTGAAGTTCCAAGTGTCCTTAAGACTCCAAGATGTTCAAACGCCCCAGCGTACTTTGATATCATGTTGGCTGAATTCTGATGTATACTGTGTTGACATTTCTGGGAACACATTCTACATGGCCGCTTTAGGAGCATCTGTAAAATGTGAGACACCCTGAGTCCAGAGGTCTTATCTTGTGTTGGAGTGACAGTCTCTGCCCCACTGGGTTAAGGAGAGACAGGCAAAGCCTCCCACCCAGCTCTCGTGACAGCTTGTCGGGACAGCGGGATGTGCAAAGAGAGGGCCTGGGAAAGGTGTACATGAACTGTATTCATCAGATCTGATCGAGGGCTAAGGCTCTACACGGAGTCTTCCGAAGATACTACAGCAGACGCAGAGGCAGGAATCCTGCTCAGGAAGAGACGAGATGGGATCTAAGCACCTTGGACCACAGGGTGCTGAACCCTTGCTTTCTCTTCTCCCCTTTGTGGCATTGGCAGGTCGGTCTTCCCTCTCTTCCACCTTCTCTGTAGCCCTGGGGTTCCAGGCGTGGTTTAGACATTGCTCCCCCCATAAAAGCCAATTGTCCTGCAGTGTGAGCATTGGCTCTGTTCTTTGTAGAATCAGGCTTTCGTCCTGAGAGGATTCAGGATAGTTTTGATCTAGTGGACATGCAGAGCCACGTCTCAGTATTTTACTGAACAAAACCCATGGGTGATGATCCCACGGGTCTTAGGATTTCAACAGCAAAAGTATATTTATCTTATCTTTGGGAGTTCTCTTCTCTGATTCATCTTATCTTTGTGAATTCTGTTTTCTGATGGTGCCCACGGCCAAAAGGAGAACACAGACAGTTCTCACTCAGTCTTTGAACTTGTAACTTGTCTTGGGAAGCAGCTTACATTTTAATTTAAAGGAAAGGTCAGTTTTAAAACTCGCTGCCGTTGAGTCCATTCCGACTCATAGTGACCCCTATAGGACAGGGTAGAACTGCCCCTTAGGGTTTCCAAGGAGTAGCTGGTGGATTCGAACTGCCGACTTTTGGTTAGCAGCCGTAGCTCTTAACCACTGCACCACCAGGGCTCCAAGGTCAATTATAGCCATGCTTAAAATACTTAGCAGCAGCTTTATGTATGACTTTACAGACACTAATAAGGGATTTGGTCTTTTCTTTCTTCTTATTGCAGCTTTTGAAATGTAAGACTTAAACACAAATATGCTATTTTTTTTTCCCGGTATTCTGCTTTGTATGTGATATTTGTTATGTTCTCAGATCCAGTGTATATCTTATGCAGGATGTTGTAATGAATTATTTTGTATGGACAGGCAAAATGGGTACCAAAGTGAAATCTTGCCAACGGGGAAGAAAGTTTCTATGTGGAGAACATGTGACAATATGTATCATGTGTGCTACTTGTGAAATAAGCTTTTGAACCCTTGAAGCACAAGAGAATCGAATAGGAATGTTGAATTTTCCAATGAAATAAACACAGACTGTGAGGGTTTGATGCTGCATTCACCCTTTATTCGCAGACATTTGCGTTTTTGCTTTCTTCGCGTTTCTTTTTGCTTTAAGATGGTTGTTGCTCTTTGTTGCTGTCACCTTTGGATTGTATTTTGGTTCCAGAAACAATAAAAAAATTTAAATTGTCAAGAAAAACCTGTAGGTGTGCTATCTCTTCTTTTTGGACATGTGTCAATTTAGAAGACTCTTCCCGTTGGACTGTGTGTGCTGCCTACTGTTTTATGGGCGGGCAATGGGAAGTAAATGGTCAGCCTTTGATGTTTGTGCATTGTTCCTTTTCAGGCCTTTGACACAATTCCTAGACTCCAATCTGACCCAGAATAACATTCAGACTAGTAGCCTGGGCTTGAGTTACACCTCCACTGCCTAGCTCACTTCCTGATATACAGCTGTCTGCTCAGTGTTCCTGGGCTAGCGTCAAGCCATCAGTAACAGATTTCAGACCCAAGAATAGAACTTGTTGTCTTGACTCCCCATGTATGCTGCAGCTTTGAAAACATTCATCTCAGTGCCGGAGATAAAGACATTAAAGATGTGTCAAGCCATCTTTAGCTGACAAGTAAATGCACAAGGTGACCCACTAGGACTTCTCAGCTCTCTTCCCTGTGATTTAGAGACTCCTTAGTCCTTGATAGCATCCAACTCATAGCTGTGAGTTGGAAATGACTGATGGCAACAGGTTTGGTTTGGGTGTTAGGGTTAGTCCTTGATACAACTTTTCCTTATGAAAAAGAGCCAACTCACTGAGGTATGTTAAAGTTACATTCTTTAAAATTGGCTACGTTGGGGTAGAGGGTGAATGAAGAACACAAAAATGTTGAAGATCCAAAAAATTAAGTCAAGGTAAGTATAGTTTATTTTCAACAAATGTCACAACTGTGCTGCCTTATTAGTAGCTCATGCACAGGAAAATTTATCCACAGAATATCAAAACACGTTGAGGTCTGGCAGTTGCTGGTAGCTAAGCACAGGGTCTTAGTGTGATCACTGTTAATTATTTCTGAGCACGCTGAAGTCCCTACCTGTGTCCCGGTTTCTAAAAAAGTTGATGCTCACTGTCTCCCAGCCAATTAATTATCCCTCATTACTTCTTCAATCCAAGTAACAAAACTTGAAACGCGGGCATAAACACCAGGCTTATTGGGCCGTGCACAGCCAAGACCCCAAGAAGTGACTCCTTGTAAAACGTATTTGTCCTTCTCGAAGCAAACCAGAGGTCCTCCACTGTCACCCTATACAGAAGGGGAGGGAAAAAGTCATGTGAGTGTTAAACCACCGTCCTTTTATTAGGGGATGTCATTCTCATTATTCAAATACACGGTTTCCCAGAATTTAAACATTCCTTTCCAATCAGAAAGTAACTTATTAACATGATTTGACCATCTGCTGTGCTCAAGCACTTTGCACAGCATCTTCAGAAAAACCATACTAGTTAGTTTATCCTGGGAAAAAAATCCCTTGTGAATACTCTACACATCTCTTCCTTTCTTGGGGTTTCTCTTAGGCAGGGCTAACCCCAAGCCCAGTTGCAAAATACATGCAGTTGGTCTTTGTCCTATACCCCCTTCCACCTGGTCTTCTGGAAACACCATCACCCTAGTCTCATTCACCAGCATGTTCCAGGAAGCATGTAGTCTGTGGTTACAGAAGCCTTACTACCCCCTAGAAACCCTGGTGGCATAGCAATTAAGAGCTACGTCTGCTAACCAAAAGGTGAGCAGTTTGAATCCACCAGGTGCTCCTTGGAAACTCTTTGGGAGCAGTCCTACTCTGTCCTATAGGGTTGCTATGAGTCAGAAATGACTCGATGGCAATGGGTTTGTTTTTTTTTGGGGGGGTTTTTTACTACCCCCATACTACTGATCTGGACCACCACCATCTGTCGGCTTGTCATACTATGGTCACTGCATGTTGCTGGAAGCTACGCCACGGTATTTCAAATACCAGTGGGGTCACCTATGGTGGACAGGTTTCAGTGGAGCTTCCAGACTAAGACAGACTAGGAAGAAAGGCCTGACAATCTACTTCCAAAAATTAGCCAATGAGAACCCTATGGATCACAACAGAATATTGTTCACTGTGGTACTAAAAAATGAGTTCCTATGTTGAAAGTCACTCAAAATACAACAATGGACTTGAGCATACCAATGATGGTGAAGATGGCACAGGGCCGGACAACATTTCATGGTGTTCTACATGGGGTCACCGTGAGTCAGAGCCGACTAGATGGCAACTAACGACAATTGATCTGGAACTCAAGAGCCAAGCAATCACCTTGGATTATCTGAATACGTATTTGGGGTCATACCTAAAGGGTTTCTGGGCAACATTTAGACTGTGGCCTTCGGTTGACAGGTCCTTCTTGAACTTGCCACTTTGGGGCTGAAAAGTCTAAGGGGCCAAGACAGGCCAGCATCAGGACTCACTTTGTCTCTTCCTCTTTCTTACCTGGCAGCTGTCTGTACCTCCACTCAAGAGACCAGCACAGAGCTCGGTTGGCCTAACTCTTTCGTTCAGATACTCGTAGCGATTGCACACTTTATTCTCAATCACAGGGAGCTGGGCTTCCTTGAGAAGACCAACACCAAAGGTGCCTGGGTTTAAAGAGATTAAAGAATGGTTACTGGTCCCAAAGTCTGTTCATGAGGAAACTTCCAGAACAACAAAGCAGCAATGATAGATTTCTTGTTCATGAGGTTGGAAAACCACCAAGTCAATACCTAACACTACTGGAGTTCTTTTTTCTTTCTGATCCTCAGAGTATAGACATAATCTAAGAGTTTACGTCCCCGTGGAACTGGACTTAACAACATGGGTTTCTTTGTGGTGCTTTGTTTTTATTAGTGTTGCTGTTACGTTTTGTTTTTGCTTTTTCTTTTTTAAAACTATAAACAAATAATTTTTAATATGTGAAGAAAGTTTGGAAACTATAACTGCCACTATGTTTACATGGTCTCTTTCAGGCTTTTTATATGCTTTGTTGCTACTTATCATATTGTACAACTTCATATCCTCGTTTTTTCACTGAGCAGTATATCACAAGGACTTTTTCATAATGCTATACAGTCTTCATAATTAATATTTTAATGGCTATATAGTAGTTCAGGGAACAGATGTACAATCATTTGTATTTTAAAAGAATAGCTATCAAAATGTAGTATAGCCATACAATGGAATATTATTCAGCCATAAAAAGGAAGAAAGTTCTGCTGCATGCCACAACACGAATGAATGCTGAAAATATTAAGTGAAATAATCCAGGCACAAGAAGACAAATATTGTATAATTCCACTTATATGAAACAACCCCGATAGGCAAATACATAGAGACAGAAAGCAGATTAGTGGCTGCCGGAGACTGTGGGAGGGGAGAATGGGGAGAAACTGCATAACAGGAGTACAGGTTTTCCTTTTGGGGTGAGGAGAACGTTCTGGAAATGGTGGTGATGGTTGCACGACACTTCGAATGTACCAAATGTCACTGTATTGTACGCTTTGAATGGTTAAAATGGTCAATTTTATGTGATATGTATTTTACTGTAATAATAAAGAGTATCATTTATAAGAATTCATCTTTTCAGGCATAAGTTCATCACGTGGTATTATCTCCTTTAACTCTCACAACAGTCCTGTGAAGTAGGCACTTTGATCATTACTACTTCTTGTTTCATAGTTAAGGAAACTGCGGTCTAGAAGGTTATGTGATTTGCCCAAGACCATCCAGCAAGGAAGTGGTGGAGCTGGGATTTGAACCTAGGTCTGTGACATCATTGCCCCAATTCTCCATTACCATGCTCTTTGGCTTTTACTGTTGCTTCCACCATTCCACATCTTTGTTCATACAATTTATTCATATTCCTTACTATTTTCTTAAGTGTGTTGCTGTTGATAGGTGCCACCACGCTGATTTTCTACTCATAGCGACCCTATGTGACAAAGTAGAACTGTCCCATAGGGTTTCCTAGGCTGTAATCCTTATGGAAGCAGATTGTCAGGTCTTTCTCCCACAGAGTCACTGGGCAGGTTCAAACCACCAACCTTTCAGGCAGCTGAGCACTTAACCATTGCACTACCAAATTCCCAGAAGTTATATAGACATATTTATGGATCCCAGCAGGGCAGGATTATCCAATAAACAAGGTAAGCACAATGCTTACCTAGCTTATCAGATCATCTCTAGTGAACAATTTTGCATTTTTCACCACATCAAAGATTCTGCTTCTAGGTATGGCTGGCATCTATCGCTCTCTCTACTCCACAGCACCTTCCTACAGAATCCAAGCCTCTTTTCAAATTTACAATCGCCGACAGGGGCGGATTATATGCTACAGATTAATAAGTATGCACAAGTAAGCCTGTGCTTCCCTTGCTTAGTGGGTAATCCTCCCAAACTCCCAGTAACATTGCCAAATTATTTTCTAGAAGGGTGTGCCAGTGTAAAATGTCACTCATAAATATCATTTGACTACACCCTTATGATTATTTAATTTTTAAAAAATATTTGCTAAAGGTGGAAATAGTCCTAACTCAGTTTTTAAATTTCCATTTCTCTGATAATTAGGGAGAGTGGACATTTTCCTGTGTGCTTGCTTTACTAGCTGTATTTCTTCTTTTGTTAAAAAAATATGTATTTTTGGCAAATTGAAATACAGCATTTGCAAAATAGCCAGAGGAAATGCTGTTTTTCCACATTGACACACCCAGGGGTGTCTCAAGGTTTTTGCAAATAATCCAGTTTTGCAAGCTCAACCTTCACCCGAGTTTTGTAGAAAATGGTTTGTTAGTATCAAACAGCCAGGGAGATGAAGTTCTATTTCTTCTACAAAGACTTTGAATAAATTTAGCAAATTTTCTGGGTTCAGAAAACTTACAGTCAGTTTGGAGTTCACAACAGCATATAGGAGGACGATCCATTTGGAAAGAAGAGGTTTGTCTAAGAGTTCTTCCAAAGCAGAACTCAGACCTTGCGTTGGGCAGAGTTGCCTTAAAGGAAGGTCTTGACTACAAAGTATTGCTCCCTGTGACAAGGGAACGGCCTTCTCAAACTGTTTTGCTGGAAATTTACCCAAGTGTCGCCACTATTTTATCTGTTTCTGAGCAAGATGAACATTCTGAGACCAGAAGATAATCAACTGCTATTTCAAGGGAAGCAGATGTCCCAGGGGTGGTGCAAACAGCTGCAAACTGAAAAATTGGAGGTTTGAATCCACCCAGATGCACCTCAGAAGAAAAGTCTGGCAATCTACTTCTGAAAACTCACCCACTGAAAGCCCTATGGAGTGCAGTTCTACTCTGACACACATAGGGTCGCCATGAGTCCAGTTGACTGGACGGCAACTGGTTCGATGTGGTTGGTGAGGTGATAGTGCCATCTGGTGGCCAAGATAGAGACGGCATTGCTGGAGTCTGAGGGTGACCTGGAGACAGAGGCCCTTACAGGCCTGAGGAGAGGAAGCAGGGAAAGTGCAGCAGGCCCCTGAAAGTGATTCCTGATGGCAGCCTGACCTGGAGGAGTATCTTGGCCTCAATGCTTGTCTTGCATTTGGAATGTCAAAGTCAGGGAAAGTCTTTGGAGATACGAAAAGGGAATTTTGCGAACATAAGACTTTTGACCTGACACAGAGACTGGAAACACTGATTTATTGCATACCATTGTTGACATGTGGAACATTGGTAACCAGGCCAGAGTTATGTTTGTGGCTTCCTGGTCCAGTTAATATTCGGAGAATCATTTTCTCGGTAGACATGCGGTGAGACTCGGAGAGACGGGCAGAGCCCAGTGCAGGACTACAGGTTAGAATAGGACAGAGGGACAGCAGATGGGCTCGGGGGTCAGGCCTGCCTGGGCCCGATCAGGGCTCAGTACACACTAGCTACGTGATTTTTGCTGCTGCTGCTGCTGATGATGATGATGATGGAGAAGGAGGATAAGAAGGGAGAGAAAGAAGTAACAAACTTAGGAACTGCCGAATACCATCCCCAAAGCCCTGGGCACTTCATATACTTTATCTTAGTACTCTCAGCAATCTTACAGAGTGGCACCAATGTTATCCCTGTTTGACAGATGAGGAAATCGAGGCACAGAAGGATTAAATCACTTGACTTATGTCATGTGAGCCCTGGTGGCATAGTGGTTAAGCGTTTGGCTGCTAATCGGAAGGTCGGCAGTTTGCATCCACTATCTCTTCCTTGGAAACTCTATGGGGCAGTTCTACTCTGCCCTATAGGGTTGCTGTGAGTCGGAATGACTCCACAGCACTGGGCTTTGGAATGTCACGTGGAAGGTGGTCGAGCCAGAACTTACACCTAGCCAGACCAGTAAGATTTTAATATCCACGCTTTAACCAGTTGGGATGCTGTAGAGGACATTTGTTGTTGTTTTTTGGCCGCCTAGCAGCCATTCAGCCAATATCCCATAATTCTGTTATGGGGTTCATCCTTCGCCCATTCTTTGTGCGAGTAGGTGGGCTCCAGGGGTGGAGCAGATGGTACAGATCTAAACCATTCTGCATATCCAATTCAGTGATTGGCTCAGAGACAGGCACATGACCCAAATCGGCCCTATCAGAGCTCGGGAGACTCTTATTTGCCGGCTGGGGAAACCGCACCTCTCCTTCCTCCCGGAACCGGAAGCTGCGCTGCGCGGCCAGCTCTACGGCACCATATGCGACCCGGAAGGACTACCTGTGCGAGCGTGGGGCCATCGAGAGACAGAGAGAGCTGGGACGTGGTGGCATCAGGTGAGCCTCTAGATGTTTCAGTTCGGTAGTTCACTTTCTTTTTAGCTTAGTCTAATCTGAGTTGTATTTTCTGCCGTTGCAAGCATGGTATCTGACACAAACGTGCTGCACATTATTAATAAGAGCTACCATTTATCAAGTTCCTGTAAAGTGCTGCGTGCTTTTTGTGAATTTTCTCATTTTTTTACCCACAGCAGCCCTTCGGCCCATTTTTTTCAGCTGAGGAAAAAGGTTCAACAAGATTTTTTACTTTTTTAAGTACCTACAGCTAGTAAGTGGTGGAGTTGGGGTTCCAACTCAGGTCTGTCTGACTCCATCGACCAGGCAGGCAGTTTCCACTGTGCCATCCTACACCTCGTTACTCACCTTCTTTCGAAATAATTTGATCTAACTCATATAAGTTGTGGTGTTTACCTTTAAAAAGATGCAAAACGCCAGGAACAGCCCAGAACATGCACACATGTGCTTCTTTTGCATTGATTCCGTGCTGCCAAGCTTCCTTTTCCTTCGACTCCATGCTTACAGACTCATGTGCGGAAAGGGGAACCACGGTGACTCAAGAGGGTGACATTTTAAAAATAGTAGGGAAAGAGGGAGGCCATATTTCAAATTACCTAGACCAGTAGGTTTCACCTTTATTTTTATTTTAGCCACAAAACCTTTCTTCTGAAAGCTTATGCAAAAAGCTAATGTGTAAAACACAATTTTACAGTGATTTTACAGAAGAGGAGTTAGACAGCCAGTGAGTACAAAGAGGTGAAGTGACTTGTCTTGGTTTACCCCTAGTGCAGAGCCAGAACTCTTCCAGGTCCCTGACTCTCATTTCCCAACACTTCTGAGGAAACTGAGGCAGATATCCTAAGATATTGTTCCAGTGTTCCTTTGACCAAAGGTCCAAGTCTAATGGATATAATTATCATCAGGACACGCAGCAAAGACGAGAGATCCGCAAACATGTTTATACTGGATCCTGCCCAAATGTTGCCTATCTTGCCCTCTACCCCTTCAACCAATGCTAAGTGTCACCCCAGAACTGGGGAGTCAAAGGCCCTTGCCTTCTTTCCCCCAGCTGCCCTTCTCTCATCTTCCTAACAGCCTCTCCACAAACACACCAGAGGCAGACTAGTCTACCTATTATCTATGTTATTGTTTTACATCAGATTGGGAACCCAGTATGGCTAACTTAAAGTGAAAAATAATTTAACAATCTTAATCTGTAGGCTGTGTCAAAACCCTATTTTCCTGGAGAAACAATATTAAAGTTGAGATTATAGATTGAGAGACTCCAAGAAACTCTCCTCCTGCATACCCCCTGCTGACTGATTATGAAGACACAGGAAAAGGCCCATACCAAGTCAGGTGGGGGTGGACCTCAGCACCCATTGCTAAGAAGTTGTACAACTCTCATTTTGTCATGTAGGCTGTAGGGGAAAAGCAGTCATTATGTGGGTCATGAAGTTGATCTCACCTTGAGTGTCACCCCAGCCAGTGATGTAGCATTCTGTCCGGTCAGCAACCACGTAATTTGCAGGTGGCAGACAAGCTGGGATGACTTTGTCAGTGATGATGGCAGGGCTAAAAGGAAAACATCACAGGTTATATTTGTTTGCCCTCTGATCACCAGCGGTGAGATACTCCCTGCCTCAAAGGCCCAGAATATTCCAAGTTGGTATTTTCTTGCTTTGCTGACACAGAGCTATGTAGAAAATAACTTTTTATCCTCCCATTTGCCTATAATATTTTATGAACTAAAATGCAACATTTCATTTAAAAGGCATCAGTTGTGTTCAGGAAACTGCTGCTGGTTGCTTCCGGGAGTAGGGATGACAAACACTCACTTCTCATGTGGACCCCATTCACTATTGGAATTGTATACCAAGTCCAGGTTATTATACTGATTTAAAGGGAAAAGCCCAAAAGGCATCAATCAATAGGTGAAACCCTGTCCAAGGCCAGAATAGTAGAAAATGTATTCTGTGTCCATGAGCACATTGTTCCATCTTTTGGATCCTTCCTCAGTTTCCCTGTCTGTAAATGTTACAACACTATACTTCTAAGACTCTAATAAAATAACTGGATAGCAAATGAAAGAGGATTGGAAATAAGCACCATGCATAAACAAAATGGTATTATTCTCAAAGAATCATTTTCAGAGAACTTTCACATCACCTAGAGTGCCAGGGAATCTCAAAATCAAATACTAGAACTTTGAATTTTAGAATTGATTCTACTTTAGTAAGTTGAAGGGGAAAACCCATTGGAAATGAGAAGCCCCCTGTTCTGGTTAAGAATCATCCTCATCAAGACTAATGGGGCACAACAGTCCAGGGACAAGGACTAGAAGGCAGGAGGGGACAGGAAAGCTGGTAATAGGGAACCCAAGGTTGAGA